AGCCTATTCGATTAGGCTGATACTTGGGGCCTCGATGAATCGAACAGGAATGCTATCCGACGCTTCTGAGTCCAACGATGAGGCTATTCTTGCTAGGGCGTCCGCCACAGAGTTGTCATCTCTGGAAATCTGAGTGATCGCGAAGTGCTTGAACGGCTCGAGTGCGGCCTTAGCTTCTTTCAGATAATGGATCATGTTTTCTTCCTTGGCTTGGTATTCCCCTAAAATTTGATTAACGACCAACATGGAGTCGCTATGGACACTGATCACGGTTGCCCCCATTTCTCTGGCCAATCGTAATCCAACGAGAAAAGCTTCATACTCGGCCTCATTGTTGGTTGCCTTGAATCCGAGCCGAAGAATGTCGTGAACGCGAGCCCCTTCGAGGCTCAAAATGAGAATACCTGCACCGGCCCTCTTTCTCTTCGATGATCCATCGATGTAGAGGCTCCAGGTCGATAGATTCTGAGCAGTTTCCTGGATGGCTTCGCTAGGCTGTTGCTCTGATTCACTTGGAAGATAGGAGAATTCTGAAATGAAGTCAGCAACAACCTGCCCTTTGATAGTCGATCTTGGCTTGCACTTCAGATCGAACTGACTCAATTTCATGGCCCATTTAAGCAATTTGCCCGATGCCTCTGGCTTTTGGAGGACCTATCTGAGGGGGTAATTAGTCATCACATGGACAGTATGGGCGTGGAAGTAAGGTCGCAACTTTTTGGAAGCGATCAGCAAAGCATAGGCTAACCGCTCCATTTTCGGATACCACATCTCGGCATCCGTCAGACGCTTGCTTGCATAGTACACTGGCCATTGGACCTTTTCCTCTTCCCGAATTAGGGCTGCACTGACCACGAACTGAGAGACGAACAGATACAGGAGCAGGATCTCTTGGGGAAGAGGCTTGGTCAGGAGAGGTGGTTTCCCGAGGTGTTCTTTTATACTTTGGAACGCTTGTTCGCACTCGGGAGTCCATTCGAACTTCTTATTGGCCTTCAGAACATCGAAGAATGATAAGCAGCGATCTGTTAGCCTCGATATGAAGCGACTTAGTGCCGCTATTCACCCATTAAAACTCATTACCTGTTTTTTTGCTGGTCGGGCTTTCCATATCGAGCAGAGCTTGAATTTTCTCGGGGTTGATTTCTATTCCCCATTGGTTAACCATGTGTCCTAGGAATTTACCTGATGATACTCCAAAAGAACACTTGAGATGATTCAGTTTCATTCTGTACAGTCGAAGGATATCAAACATCTCAACGAGATGCGCTATGTGATCTACAGCGATATAGGATTTGACCAGCATGTCATCTACATAGACCTCCATTGACTTGCCGATCTGGTCGGAGAACATCCGGTTAACCAATTGCTGGTAGGTCGAGCCAGCGTTCTTGAGGCCGAAGGGCATAACTTTGTAGCAATACAGCCCCCGATCTGTAATAAAAGATGTATGCTCTTCGTCTGGCCCGTACATCGGAATTTGATTATATCCCGAGTACGCATCCATAAAACTTAGTAGCTCGTGCCCCAAGGTGGCATCCACGAGCTGGTCAATTCTTGGCAAGGGGAAACTGTCTTTAGGACATGCCTTGTTGAGGTCGCTGAAGTCGACACAGGTTCGTCACTTGCCATTTGGCTTCTTTACCAAAACCAGGTTGGCAACCCAGGTCGGGTAGAGTGCCTCTCGGATAGACCCGTTTCGAAGGAGATTATCCACCTCTAATTTTAAGGCGACATATCGCTCCAGATCTATTGCTCTTCTTTTCTGGCGAACTGGCTTGGCTTCGCTGTCGATGTTCAACGCATGGCAAATGATATCTGGGTTGATCCCGACCATATCTGTGTGCGACCAGGCAAACACAGCGATATTTTCTTTCAGGAAGCTGATTAGCTCGGAGGCGAGCTAGGGGTTGAGACTACTCCCAATCCTTAACACTCAGCTCGGCTCCTTCGGGTTGACCGGTACTTCTGACAAATCCCTAACTGGCCCACTGGAAAGGCTTTCCTCAATTCGATGATCCATATTATCCTCTGCTGGGCCAGGCTGTGGCTCGATCCGGCTGATCGCCATGGCCTGTCGAGGAATATAACGCGAGATGCCCTTCCCTCTGCATGCCATCCGCATTACTTTTATGTAACAGTTGCGAGATGCGCTTTGAGATGCACTAACTTCCCCTATCCCCATCGGGGTGGGAAACTTCATCTTCAGATGGTAAATAGAAGTGACTACCTTAAAGTTTTTCAACAGAGGTCGCCTCAGGATCCCATTGAAGGTAGATAGGCAGTCCACGACCAAGAATTCAGTAACCTTAGTCACTTCGTCATAGTCACCCAGCGTGACTGAGAGTTGGATCGTTCTCTTGGGGATCAGGTGGTCCCGTGTAAAACCATTGAAGGTAGATAAGCAGTCCACAGGTCAGTTTGTGGACGAACTCCAACTATGATGAGACTCCGAACAGACTCTTCGGGAGTATGAGCCACCTTGTTGAGTTCTTTGTGGAAACAGTCAATGTAGGACTGGAAGGATTCATCCGTTTCTTGCATTATATTGCTAAGGTAGCTCAAAGGCATCGAGAACTTTTGATTTGCTTGAAAATGTCATAGGAACGTCGCGCTCATCTGAGGCCGCGAACTGATTGATCCCACTGGGAGCGACCTAAACCACTGTTTGGCATGAGAGGTCAAAGTCACTGCCAAACAACGGCATTTTGCTAGATCTAAGACTTGGTAAAGCTCCATTAGGTCGTTAAATTCATATAAATGATCCTGCGGATCAGAATTTTAATCAAACGCCCGCATGTCGGGCATCCTGAATCCTGGTGGGAGTGGAGCGGCTAACACTTCAGGAAAGAAGGGGGACGCAGATGCGACCTGCCCCTATTCATTTTGTTGAGCTCTTAGTCTGTCTAGAGCTCGCTGCAGCTCCTCAATTTGCGGCAACGGAGCTGCTTGGGGATTGCTTTCACCCATGCGAGTTCGACCCTCACGATTGCGATTGAGGAAAGTCCGAAGGTCGAGTTCCTCTTCGCCTTGGCCGGCGGTTCCAGCCACTCTCGAAACACGCTGGCTAGAGGCGTGTGATGGCTACGAAAGGTGAGGGGTATTTTCACAACCTTCGCGGTGGTAAAAACCGCCCTGCTAAGTATGGGACCCTCTCGCACGGTGACGATCAAGATCGTTTTGCTGGCGGTGATAAGAATCGCCCTGCCCAGCACTTTTATGGGTGTGTACTTACGACGTGGCATGGGATAGCTGTTGGACCGGTCATCACGGTCACAAAATTAAACCTAAATACCGTAGTTAGCGGTAAGCAAGGTCGAATCCACAGAGAGCAAGACTAACGACCTAATGTATATTTGAGTTAACGAAAGAGAAATTGGCAAAATGATTGATTAAAACTAAGGAAACTAATTACTTGCAGGAAATTAAAAGCATTAAATAAATTGCTAACTAAAACACAATATTAAAATCGTTGTCGCTACGGGTTCGGTTTGACTCAAGACCAACTCTCACAATTCCTCTCCTCGCTCTTCAATTTCCTAAACCTACAAGGCTAGGCAAATCAATAAAAATATCTCTCAGCAATCTAGATATAATCTATCCTGTCTCCCTGTCGTCTTAGTTACAGATCGATTGGTTAAAGACTATCATTGACTAACCGAAAAATGCTAAACCCTTAAACACCACTAGTTGGTACAACGTTAACAAGTACAACCTATCAACCTGTATCATCCAATCAACTAATTACACAATAAATGCATTCCTAGTAGAAATGATATTAAACGCTACTACAACTTGATTGTAATCAGTACTGAAGCAATTTAAAGTCATAATCAACATTCAATAATCTCAAACCGACATTCAATTATGCGAAAAGTTATATATCAATAAACGTTCTCAATGGACATTATCAATTCAACATGTCTAGCATCAGAATAATATTAAAGCATCGCAAACAAACTGAAACGAAAACAAATATAATCTAAATATAAGAAACTTAACCAAATGTCCAACATTCGGGCTCATCCAATTAGTCGAGAGCTGATGAGGAGATCAATGGAGTCAATCTCAATCTCGCCTACACCGTAACAGACAACCGAGAACTCAGCCGCTCATGGTAGTGATGACGGAGGTTGAAACAGTGGAAACGAAGCTGATCATGGCGAAGAGGAGGTAACCGACAGCGATATGATGCGAAGAAGGGGCGAAAACAACCCACGGACAGCCCGGAATACGAACAGTCGCACTCGCCGAAAAACGTTAATTTTCCAACGGGTCTTCCGGAAAACGGTAGCGGAAATGGGATCCGAAGGTACCGATGGAAAGCTCTAGTGATGGGGAGTTTAGATCAGGTCTTGGGGAGGTGAGAAGTCACTAGAAATGAACAAGATCTGGGCTGGAAGATGAAGAGGTGCGACGGCAAAATATCGGATTCCGGCGGTTTTTGCGACAGCTGAAGCTTAGAAATGCTAGATCCGGTCGTGGGGAAGGAAGATCGACTCTTGGGAGCTGAAACGTCACCAAAAAAGGGCCAAATCTGGCCGAGAAAACGAAACGTCGCGGTGGAAAGATGAAGCTCACGGTGGCGTGCGTGTTTCACAGTGGTGATGAAGGGATGATGGTGACCGGAGCAAGGGGAAGCTGAAACGCCGTCGAAAAAGGAGCTGAAGGGTCACCGGAGCTTGATCGGAGAAGGTGAAGAGTTTTGATGGGCGGTAGCCACCTAATCTGCATCTTTGAGCCGTAGTTTTATACAAAATATGGCAAATTTCCATTTGGTCCCTACATGATTGAAACATGACAAAATCATCTCCTTGAAACATGACATTTTACCCCCTAAACAGCATAAATGAAACAAAATCATCCCTAATCCATAAACCACAACCTAATATCAACTCACACCATTTCCAAATTCATCCCAAATATGCTAAATTAGTAAGAAAAACTCAAAATATGATTTTTATACATAAATTCATAATTTCTCTTAATTGTCTCAATATAACTTCAATTCAATAACATATGGGATCTTTTTATCAACGAAATAGAGTCACTTTCATGACTCTAACAATAGCTCGGGTTGCGTCCTTTCACCGAGTCTCAACGAGTCTGGTATTCTGTTTGGGACGCGGTCGATGTTTGCTGGCCCTTTAGAGCTCGTGGGCTTGTTTTTTGCCACTTGCTTACCCTTTCGTCTACGCGCTACAGTGCTTGCGACAAAGGCTATTTCTCTTTGCTGCGCTTTAGCGCGACCTGCAGGAGTCTTTGGCGATTGCACCGCCGCAGCTGACTTGGATGGCACGCATTGGTCTAAACGGTCCAACCTTCGGTTGACCGTCTGGAGAGTATTGTCAAACCTCTTCAGGTAGTTTCTGATGGCAGGGTCAAGCTGTGAACTTGACGGGATATCCCCTGCAGCATTTTACAGAGCTAAGGTTTCTTGGAAGAAGTGTCCCCCTGGACTTGGGGAAGCCCCTCGACGCCCTGGTTGGTTTGCTCAAGTTCTGGTTGACAGGCCATTTACTGTTGTAGAACCGGTGAGTTGGAGATTCTCCTGATGAAGGATGAACACTAAATCATGCCCTTCCTCTAACGTCAAACTGTTGATGCGTGATTTTTACACCAACAAAATACACGTGTGAAATGTTGAATTGGCCCAAAAGATACACGTGAATGTAAAGGAAAACGACAGTAAATGCAATGGAGACAATTTTTAAAGTGGTTCGGATGCTAAGGTAGCAAGTCATACGTCCACTGATGCTTATATTGATGATAAGGGTCAGGTCGCTTCAGCTGACTGACTTTACAATGGTAATACAAGGTATCAAATGCTGAAAATTCTAGAGAGAGAGAAAAAGTATCTAATCAAATGTAAAATATACGAATCCCCTTCAATGAGAGAGTAGCTCTCAATTTATAGAGGAATTGATTGAGGCAATCATCACTGAATCTGCAGGTTAGTGAGATTATCCTTGCAAAATCCTTCTTTATATCACATTGCCCACCTTCTATAGAGATTTGCACGATTTGGAGCAGGGATTGAACACGTGGGATCATCATAGCTCTTAGCTGACCTGGCGCCCGCCCACTGTTCTGACAGAAGCAGGCTGCGGGCATTCCAATGATCTGATTTTTGCATGCTAACTGGACCTTACGTTAGCCCTTATATTTTTAAACATAACAAACTTTATACAAGAAATACAAAAATAATAAATACCATGGGTGCAAAATGCCATTTTAAAGCCTTGTAGAAACTTGATCAACATAGCAATCCCTATAATTTGCTTCCGACTAAACATGAGCTAAGAAATGGTGAATTACAGTGCAAATGTGGGAACTTCGGATGTAAGGCCATGAGTAGCTCGGTAAGCCAGCCGGTTCAACATATTCCGGTACGGATCATTTTCTCTTTTCTCCTTAAGAAAAGTTAGACACTTCTCAACCTCAGCTTGAACTTGCAAGTATAGTTCACGAGATTTCTCCCTATCTCTTAATTCCTCACTCTTCCCTTTGGATAGAATAAAAATTATCAAAAAATCAATATACCATAATGATTATGAAAAATAATGAATTCTAACTGGTTTAATTGATAAGGTCTTAGATCAAATGATCGTACCTTCTGTTTCAATTGGTTTCCCAAAATAATAATAAAACGGACCCGGAAATTTTGGCAGAATTATAGGAAAGTGTAAATGTTGGTTGGCCACCTCCCCATCTGTCGCTGTCCTATAATCATAAGTTTAAGGTAAATTCAAACACAAAACTCAGCACTTGAAACGCCTAATGGGGTGAAGATGAATATAAGGAAATCACTATACATAAAGATAAAGCAGGCAGTTGAGAGGGAAAAAGATAAGATCATAACGAAGTACCTGAACTTCTTGACTTCATTTGTCACTTCTTCTATTTTGGACCGCATATAAGGAACATTTATTTGATCGTCATAATCAAAAAGTATCTGAACAACAATAAACATGCAATCAATTATTCAGTTGAGAAAGTATGGTAACGTCAAAATCAAGAACGGAAACATGAGGATAAACCCACCCCATACTGCTATACATTCACTCTCAATAAGTTACATATGGCGTGGATGAAATCACCATTGATATTTCTCCAAAGAAACAAGGAAGCAAACACATACACATCCAGACACATGTATATGTATCCATGTAACACCTCTTACAAGGAGAATTTCAAGTGAACACCTAAAAAAAATATAGGGAGGAACTGCTATTGTAACGAACTTTTCTAAAATCTCTTCTTCAAATTGCTTACATATGCCTAAAATCTCCTAATAAGAATATTTTCATTCCACAGCAGCAGCTTCATATGGACATAATATGTGTTAGCTGAAGGAAAAAAATAGCTGCCAAGGTTGAGAATGGTGAAGAAAAATAAAATAAAATTGAGACCTTTTGAAGCTTACTTTAGAGAGATCATCTTCTCCAACAACACCAAATGGTATAATTTTAGCTCCAAATATAGCCGCCATCCTGATAAATTCCGGCTGTTTTGGCCAGAATAACTTATACTCCTCACCCTGAATTAGGCCAGAATATCATGTTTTTACAAGCGAAAAAAAATGTTAAAAAGGATGACCACTCACAATATTGTAGACTTTCAATCACTAAAATTGTGACTTAAAATAATTTGAAATGAGTAAGATATTTAAGCATTTATCAAGGTATATTTAAACCATGAAGAATATTACCTTCCGATGAAGAGCCTCACGTAAACCTCCCGGATATAATAGGATATGAGACTTTGATGATAGAAGTTTATAGAAGTTATTTGCTGAGACAGGAACGGCACCAGTCATTGCGATTGCATCAAATGGTGGTATATAATGGCATGAATTTTCTCTCAATTTTGTAAACAAAAATGGGTGTGCTACTCCTCGCAAACTTATTTTCCTTTCAATAAAGAGTCGACAGATCATAGGGATTAATTCCAATCCCAAAAGCATGTGATAGCCGACGAACAAGACTGGTCCCTCAGAAGGAATGCCCCCAAGTCCCTTCACAATCTTCCCATCCTCAGAAGTGGAGAGTAGCATGGGAGAAGAAATGTAGCTAAGTACTCTGAAAATATACAAACTGTGAGAAAATCATATCCAAAATAAACTCCAATAAATTACGATACAATTTGATACAAAGTCCCCTGGAATGAAGATAACCAGTGAAACTTCAAGTTTTTACAGAGCATTTCTACAAAAGGCTTATATAACAATGTGAAACAATAGGATATAGATTCCATATTTAAAAAAATTTGCTATATACTTCCTCAGTAAAGATTTATGATACATGTATAGGGTGTACTCAATGTGTCCGCGCCTGCCCCACAGATGTATTAGAAATGATACCTTGGGACGGATGTAAAGCTAAGCAAATTGCTTCTGCTCCGAGAACGGACGACTGTGTTGGTTGTAAGAGATGTGAATCCGCCTGTCCAACGGATTTCTTGAGTGTTCGAGTTTATTTATGGCATGAAACAACTCGAAGCATGGGTCTAGCTTATTGATATTGAGACGTAAGGGCAAAAGGTTAACTACCTTTGTCATTAGTATAGTCAACCGATCAATCCAATGTCAATTAAAAGTATATCTAATAGATTGAGTACACATTTGGTCTTTCTAGCTAATCATTAATACATGCCCCATACACAAAACTATGATAAGCTGTTGGAGATTGGCCGATTGCCAGACCTTTTTTTAATATTATCATAAGAGCAAATTTCAACTGCATTTGTAAGTCTAACAGAATATCACCTACCTGTGATATGCATATACTCTATTAAATTCAGAAGGGGTTAATGGCACATAATCTGATACATAGTCGAGGCACTTTCCACAACGATAGAAATATGAACCCTTGATGATACTTACCAAGTCAAGACCATCTTCCTGCCATGGGATAAGGGAAATATAGAATAATATCAAAAACTATAGATTAATACCAAGTTCCCCGGAAACCTTTTGCATGAAAGATGAGAGAACTATAATACAAACAACAATATTACAAAATAATAAACAAGCAAACTTATAAAAATACCTATAATTATTGCAAATCAGAGTTGTTCCAGTCATATCATACATAAATTTTGAGAAGGCACAACGGCTATCCCAGAATTCAATATCTGGTGAAGTGTATGAAGAAATGCTAATTTGGTGCATAGAAGTGTATTTTCCTATATTGTTCTGTTGTTTTATAAAATGATATTTTTTCAAATCTTTTGATTGTATCTTTGCTCAAGTCATGTGATGCTTGATTGTTACTTGTCATTTGCTATCTCTTAGTTTAGGTCAGAATGGAGGACTTCACATCGGTGTCTCCCTCATTAACTTGCAATAATAATAGTGTGTAATCAGTCTTTTTCTTGTACAAGTAAATTTATAACATGAATTTTAAGAGCCAAGGTATACATAAAAGACATATTCACTTCGAATTGGAATGTAAACAGAGAGAGAGAAAGAGAGAGATTATTTACCAAAAAAAGGAAATGACCATTGTTCCAAAAATGCCGAGTCTCACACTTTTGTAGTACATGACAAAGTCTTTCACCTTCCTCTTTACTAGGTAGCAATTGATCTCTTCCACTGAAAAGACATGAAGTGAACTCAAGCCATCATTTGGAAAAAAATCATGAACTTTAGTGATAAATTGCTTGAACCGTGGTATTTATGGGTAAGTAATAGATTCTTGTCACTAACAAAACATTTTCCGAATAATTTCAAAACTTAATGGATTTATGCTAAAGATAAAGGACCTGGAAAGTATCAGCGTTTGAGCTTTTACAGCATGAATGCATGAATTGACAAATGCAGAAGCTGTTTTAAGCATCTGAAGCTTCCAGATCAATGTTTTTTGTGGTAAGATGTCAGTGAGAACCTGCAACTTAGATCATTTCTTGTTCAAATTGTTGGTTGCACATGACGAGAAATTATAACCTGAGCATCAGCTTGGAAAATCAAACACAAAACAGTTGTCTCCACATGAACTCTCAGAGTTGCAATCACTTTAACCATAAAATGCAAAATGATACCACTAAATCAAAGCCACTTTACATTTTGACATACTTATATAGATAGCAATGTTGCAGCCCGATGAAAAGCATCACAAGCAATGCAGGTAACGGAATCAACTATATTAACAAATGCAGAGAAGTATCTCTCACACAGTCTTACAAATTCTTGATTTCCTTTTCGGGACAAGGCTTATAGTCTTTTACATAAACAAGTATGTTATTACATGGGTATTTATCATAGATCCCCCCAAAGAATTGTTCAGTTAGTCATCACCCACTAGTTTCACTTTCACAAAATATTACATACTGCCTTCTTAGAGTGGGTTTTAATACTTTAATAGGACTTTCGTTAATAATTTTAGGGGGTTTTGATAACTAAATTGATCTCTCTGGAAATTTGTAATACTTTTCGAAAACACTAGGTGTTGATAAAATTAAGTCATCCTGTAGGAGGGTCTACGGTAATAACCTGTTATTACTAATACGTATTTATGAAGTCATATTTTTGAGTTAAAACTTACAGAGAGGTAAGATGGCATTGCAACTAAATCTTGAGATAGATCTGCAACTGTTTGTTGCAAAGGAATTCCCTTCACCATGCTAGCGGTCACCATTTTCAGAAGATTACCTAGTTTTTTTTGACAGAATTGTTGGTATCAATTGTCAAAATTTATGTGGGATCTTTATCCTAGCTCCAAAATCAGAGATGCTCCATTTGAAGCAACAAGATAAAAGAAAAAAGAGCAGCTGAATGTTTTGAATTCATGATGTCCATTATCAGGTGCATGAGAATGGTATACCACATTTATAATCTAATTAAATAAATAAATAAATAAAGGCTGGAGAGATGGGCATTTTGGGCCCACCTAAAAAACTAAGAAGTATCTTGAAAAACTAGCAAAGCAAGAGAAAAGAAGTTATAAAGAACAAGATAAACCTTTCATTGAGCTCAGTATATAAGGAAAGCTAAGATCGAGTAGGTCAGAGATGACTTCCGAAAAAGGTAGTAATGCTTGGAGCTGTGACTTGCCGAAAGATGTAGCTGCAGAAAGAACATTAATTAGGACCTATGAAAGCAAACAATTAGCTTTTGCAAAGTTGATTCAATTGGAGACTTGGTATTGAAGCAGAACATTTTCGCTTCATACTGAGGGCTCTAATTAGTCTCCTATACATATGACTTTTTGGTTCAGTGAAACTTCACAGTGTACCTGTTGCGACCTCTTAATTTATTTTGTTTTTAATTTTCCCAAGGACTGCAATCCTATCATAAAACAACTATTTTATCATTCCAAGTAATATATAGAAACCAATCCCATTAACAAAAATCAGGATAAATGAATTTCTCACCTGGGTTAGCTAAAATTAGTACAAGATCTGCAGCAGGATTGCGAGATGCAACAGCTAGTGCAATGCATGCCCCAAGAGATTCTCCAAAAAGATATATAGGTCTAGCTGGTGAATGATGACTTTCTGACCTAACTGTTTCTTCAACCAGCTCGACAAGGCCTGCACCATGAAATACTTGATTACAATAAGGCTTCATATGGCAACATGAAATTCAGCCTCTGAGTAAAAATTGGATGAAACTGAAAGTTTCCCATAGGAAAAAAAAGTTTAAAACAGAATCATGACTGGTATTTCTCATTCCAATTCCACGTGGTAAAACCAACAAGTGAATAATTTAAGATGGATGAAAGGACCTGTAAATGATGTTCTATCCTTGACTGGAATATACAAGCACCATATATCAAAAATCCTTCAACAGAAAAAATAAATATTAATTAGGCAACATAACCAATGAAAACATAAGAGGCAGATAATTATATCAAACAAGTGAACTTGGCTACAAAGGTTCAAAACCAATTTTAATAATTTTGACAGTTCTAATCATAGAAGATGGTGGAGTAAGGATGAATATGGAGCGCTTTTGAGTAAAAGCTCTTTCCGCAAATAAACTTCACCGTTCTTTTATCAGAAAAAGCTTTTAACTAAGCACTTATATATTGGCAAAAAAAAAATGTTTTCCGTAGTGTCAAAAGCGGTGTCAAACACATTATAAAGCAACCAAATCTACTTACTTTCCAAGCATGTGATGATGCTTTATTAGTCCAAGTCCCACACCATCAATTCCTTCACAATTAAAAACATTAATTTCAAATAGACTTCTATAGCTACAGTAAAAGAAAGACTATATTTGTTATCAACAAAATGGTAACAATACGCCTAGGCTAGCCTTTCCCTCTCAAAGCCTCTGCTTGTTTTGTCAGAAAATTTCGAAAACAGACAGAAAAACTTAATTAATTAAATAAATAGAGACTAACCAGGCAAAAAGAAGAGGAGAGGAGAACCCTGAGAGCAGGACCCACACTCCAACGGCGAGAACCAGCAAGGCGGACCACCGTCTGATTTAATCAAATCTTTAGACTCCTCGAAGTAATCCTTCAATCTCTTTCTCGTACCTTGTACATTCCTCATCTCCAACCTTCTAATCTCCGCCAAACATGACGTCGTTTTGACTGCCACATGTCTCCGAATCGACCGAAAAACCGGTAACAAAGCGGCCACAGAAGCTGCAATTGTCGTCATAGCAAAGGAGCTAGTGAAACAATTTCACGGATGTTGTCGAGAGATTTATATGGACTCTCTAACGAGAGATTATGAGGACGGTTGAGAAAATGAAACAATTGTGACGAAACGCCATGTACCAAACGTGAATGCATGTATGAGAATTTGCGACGAAACGACATTGCTGGATTAGAGGAACACTTCACAGTGGGTGTGAGTGTTTGAATTTCGTAGATGGAGGGACCGGGCAGTAACAGCCATAAAATGCTATGGATTTCAGAGACATGTTTGGGTGCAGGTATAGGATAAGCTTAGGTGGAGCGGGAAATGTCCTGTCCGCGTTATAAGTTTTCCCATTGCCTAGTAATTGGACCTAAACGTCCAATGTTTGTTGCATATTCATCCAATTACTAAAATATCTTTTGTCATCTGAAAATGATTTTTATTTTAACCCGTTACGCAAATCTTATCATAATCCAGGAAATCTGCTGATCCAATCACTGTGGACTTTGCATGACTACAAATGTAGTATCTTAACGCAATTTTATTAATTTTAATTGATTTGTAAAAAATTTGGGCAAGGGCAAGAATGTGAAACAATTTACCCCAATCAAAGACTGGACTGACTTATAATGGAGCCAAAACTTAACCACCATTATTGTTTTTTCCAATTTTAGCTCTCTAGAAATCTCAGCTTCTTCTACATCTAATAATAATAATAATAATAATAATAATCAACTTAGATTTTTTCCTATTGCCAGCATCAGATAACCCCTTAAATCTTATTTATTAGGGTACCCGGGTGCCCCCAGATTTTGCTCTGCAAGTTTTTTTCTATATTTTACGCAGAAGGCTCTCTAATGGCATCAGAAATAGCAGTCAAATCTTCAACCAGAAGAAGCTTCTTCATGGCCCAAGTCATGCTCAGAATTCTAGCCATTGCTTTCACCTTGGCTGCAATCTCTGTCATGCTCACCAGCACCGAATCTGTTATGCTATTTGGGATCAAACTTGTTGCCACTTACAGTGACTCTTCTGCAATGAGGTAATTAAATACCACTCTTTCATTTTATTTTGACCATTAACATTTCATAAATGGGTATTTTACTGATAAGAAAATTTCCTTATATTTTTTTTATGTTGCAGGTTCTTCCTTGGTGCGAACATAACAGCATGTATATTCTCGTTCCTATCACTAATCTTTGTTTGCGTTATTAGCCGTTCAGAATCACAACTCAACAAGTGTTTTTATCTATTTTTGCACGACATGGTAAGCAAATTCTAAATTGAAAGTGAAACTAAAGATTGTAACTTAAATTTCAGTATGTCTACTAAGAAAATTGGTGTTGCAGGTGATAATGGTGTTGCTGATATCTGGATGTGCTGCGGCGAGTTCAATTGGTTATCTGAGTAAATATGGAGAAGAAAAAATTGGTTGGACGGCTGTTTGTGACTGCGTCAGCAAATTTTGCAACCGAGTAATGATATCGCTTGTGTTATCTTACTTGGGTTTCTTCTCCTATATGGCACTTGCAATTATGGCTGCCAAGAAATTTATGAGTACAGCTTCTGAGAGATGAACACGAAAGAGGGATGAGATTTAAGATTGAGACTGTAAAAGAGAGGAATGTCACAGTTCCAGTATATAGTTGTAAAATTTCAGCTTCAGCATATAATAGGCTCATAGTTCATGATGAAATGACTTTTTCAGAATTGGAAATGTGTTTGGCCTTAAATTTTCATTAAATCTTCTGGCAGACTAACTTTGTAAATGTTATACAATGGTATTGCTGTTAGATTCAAATTAAAGAAACTAGTGAATGAACTGAACATCTGAACATTTACACAGACATGGTTAAGAAAGATCCAGAGAATCAATATCCTTGCTTTTTGCCATTCTATAGTATTATATTAGCTCGCATAAGAAAGCAATGAAGTTTTGCAGGCAAAAATTACAATATATATTAAACTACAGATTAAATGAAGAAGAAGGAAGCAATAGAGGGGTGTGTTATTCTGTTTCAATGCCGTTTTCATAATCTTTGAGGTGCTCTTTCAGGGAGTGGCTCTCGATTTCCCACTTTTCTCTGTTCCAAGCTTGATCCATCTCTGGCAATTCATAGTCGTCAGGTCTTAGTGACAGTTGGAAATCTGGTAGCTCTGGTGCTTGAAGAGCCCTGCATCATTAAAAATGAAGCAATTTACATTATGAGCTCTAGAATGAATACAATGAACTAAAATTACATCGAAAATACGAGACCCTTACTTCTCTTCTTCTAAGAGATAACCATACATCTGAGACTTCCTTGATGCAACTTCTGGTATTTTCTGATGTAAATGCTTCATAGCACCCCAAAGTGGAGGAGATCTTGCCAAAAACAAAATCAAAATGGAAATATGATTGAGCTACGAAGTAAGAAAAAGCAAAAAAATCACCACAGGTAACCAAGTAGAAACTAACCTGGTTATCGGAGCTGCAAGGCAAAAGCTTAAGCAGGCCCTTTTGCTCTCTGCTAGCAGTTCTTCCGCGGCAAGGAAACAACACACGGCGCTAACATGACAAGACGGTTCATTACCCTTGTCGAGTATAAGACCATGGTAATAGTAAGCTGCTGCCTGATGATATTTGCTGAGTAATTAGAATTTGATATCGATAATTTATTAATTGCAGCAACAGAACTATGCATATATACTGTAATCAGAGAAATGAAGTATCAAAGACCTTTGATTCAAGAAATTTCCACTTGATGAACCACATATGCTTCTTTCCATAACCGTGATTCATGTCACATCCAGACAAGCATTGATAAGCCTAATCAAAGCTTGGAGAAATCGGATAAATAAGAGATCATTACATAGGAAACAAACAGAAATATACTTTCATCTTAGAGTCCCTTGAAAAGCTATTCAAATCTTGTTAGTAAATCTCCTTAATTATCAAATTCTGCAACAATGAGTTTTGGATAATTTATTACACACCTGACTAAAATAGATCAATAGCTCACATGCCAATCTCCTCTTGACTGATAAGGTGGCCTTTTGACTTTCAACGGCTAAACCGAGTTGAATTTCAGTTCCCTGATATTTTCAATAAGATCAGATATTCATAGGAGCACATCAGATGCCAAAGAATTGGTGATATTTAGATGACAACTTATTCTGGAGACATCGAGTACTAAATGAATACCTGGCCTAGTGCTTGAATGGAAATAGCTTCCAATACACCATCCTGAAAATCTTTTGGCAACCTATTCCTGAAATCATATATAATTTCTCAATGGAAATCAGAGTTTGTGCAAAGAACCTTAACTATGCTTTGCCAACATACTTGATATCAGGTGGCATGTGAATGAGCACATTCTTGACACAAAATTCCAAGTATCCCGAAGCCTTGAGCAGTAAATCAACAGCATTTCTCTTGCAATCTGATAGTAAACATTAGAAATGATAATTGATCAGCTAAGATTTTCATCAACATCAGTAATTGAAGAATAAACGTAGAAAGGCCTCTGAATAAAAAAAACTATAGACCTGTAGATACAACCCTCACACCCGAACCAGAGTAGTCCTTGGGGATCATCAGTGTATTGGCCTCTGATAATGTAAGCATAGCCATCATGTGAACCACAGAAAGTAATTCAAACCAGGAGTTTGCTACGCAGGTTTCCTGCTAAACGCATTATAAGCCCAATTATGGTCCGATTAGTATAATGAAAGTAACACAGAAGAACCAGCAAAAAATGGCTTTTGCACTCTCTTACTTGTCTACCATCTTCCAGATTTTTCCACTTGAATTCTACCAAGTCCTGGAGGCCATGTTCTGCAATATATCAAAATTGGTTATGGCAGAAACAGAGTGAAAGATACAGAGAGAGTGACAAGAGATGCATATACTAGTACCTTTCTTGGGGAGCCCAAGTAAAAGGGACAAGTACTCCTCCAGCGCCCGCCGTAGTTCTATAATTGCAGATGCATCTGCAGGAATCAAAATTTCTATTTAGAAGAAAACCAATATAATTCAAACAACAAGAAAAGAACCAACAGGATTATGAAACTGATGATTACCAGTATCCTCAGCCACTAATACAATCTGGTTCCTGAGACAAACCAACCTATCTAGAAGCTCCCGCGGAATTAGACCTTTAAGTGGCCTTTGAAGATCAGATTGTGCAGGAATTTTCACAGAGGGAACAAAAACCACCGCTTCGGGGATAGTCACCTTCTTCTTCCTCCCCAGTGCGTATACTGAAGAAGTGCACCCCATTGTTTCTGCTGGGGATTCGTCTCAAGCATAGTATCCTACGTACAAATACTTACTAATCAATCATCCAACTCTTTCCCCTTTAATTTCCATTAAAAAGACACGTAATTGTAGAAAGAAGTTGAATAAAGAACACATGGGCGTGCCTAAGTGAGAACAGAAAGACCATAATATAGTTGAGCCAGAAAAAAAACCAACAATAAAAGAACTGAAACTTAGTTCCACTAGTTGACACACCATAAATATAAAACAAACTTCATGACTACAAATGTAGTATCTTAACGCAATTTTATTAATTTTAATTGATTTGTAAAAAATTTGGGCAAGGGCAAGAATGTGAAACAATTTACCCCAATCAAAGACTGGACTGACTTATAATGGAGCCAAAACTTAACCACCATTATTGTTTTTTCCAATTTTAGCTCTCTAGAAATCTCAGCTTCTCCTACATCTAATAATAATAATAATAATAATAATAATCAACTTAGATTTTTTCCTATTGCCAGCACCAGATAACCCCTTAAATCTTATTTATTAGGGTACCCGGGTGGCCCCAGATTTTGCTCTGCAAGTTTTTTTCTATATTTTACGCAGAAGGCTCTCTAATGGCATCAGAAATAGCAGTCAAATCTTCAACCAGAAGAAGCTTCTTCATGGCCCAAGTCATGCTCAGAATTCTAGCCATTGCTTTCACCTTGGCTGCAATCTCTGTCATGCTCACCAGCACCGAATCTGTTATGCTATTTGGGATCAAACTTGTTGCCACTTACAGTGACTCTTCTGCAATGAGGTAATTAAATACCACTCTTTCATTTTATTTTGACCATTAACATTTCATAAATGGGTATTTTACTGATAAGAAAATTTCCTTATATTTTTTTTATGTTGCAGGTTCTTCCTTGGTGCGAACATAACAGCATGTATATTCTCGTTCCTATCACTAATCTTTGTTTGCGTTATTAGCCGTTCAGAATCACAACTCAACAAGTGTTTTTATCTATTTTTGCACGACATGGTAAGCAAATTCTAAATTGAAAGTGAAACTAAAGATTGTAACTTAAATTTCAGTATGTCTACTAAGAAAATTGGTGTTGCAGGTGATAATGGTGTTGCTGATATCTGGATGTGCTGCGGCGAGTGCAATTGGTTATCTGAGTAAATATGGAGAAGAAAAAATTGGTTGGACGGCTGTTTGTGACAGCGTCAGCAAATTTTGCAACCGAGTAATGATATCGCTTGTGTTATCTTACTTGGGTTTCTTCTCCTATATGGCACTTGCAATTATGGCTGCCAAGAAATTTATGAGTACAGCTTCTGAGAGATGAACACGAAAGAGGGATGAGATTTAAGATTGAGACTGTAAAAGAGAGGAATGTCACAGTTCCAGTATATAGTTGTAAAATTTCAGCTTCAGCATATAATAGGCTCATAGTTCATGATGAAATGACTTTTTCAGAATTGGAAATGTGTTTGGCCTTAAATTTTCATTAAATCTTCTGGCAGACTAACTTTGTAAATGTTATACAATGGTATTGCTGGTAGATTCAAATTAAAGAAACTAGTGAATGAACTGAACATCTGAACATTTACACAGACATGGTTAAGAAAGATCCAGAGAATCAATATCCTTGCTTTTTGCCATTCTATAGTATTATATTAGCTCGCATAAGAAAGCAATGAAGTTTTGCAGGCAAAAATTACAATATATATTAAACTACAGATTAAATGAAGAAGAAGGAAGCAATAGAGGGGTGTGTTATTCTGTTTCAATGCCGTTTTCATAATCTTTGAGGTGCTCTTTCAGGGAGTGGCTCTCGATTTCCCACTTTTCTCTGTTCCAAGCTTGATCCATCTCTGGCAATTCATAGTCGTCAGGTCTTAGTGACAGTTGGAAATCTGGTAGCTCTGGTGCTTGAAGAGCCCTGCATCATTAAAAATGAAGCAATTTACATTATGAGCTCTAGAATGAATACAATGAACTAAAATTACATAGAAAATACGAGACCCTTACTTCTCTTCTTCTAAGAGATAACCATACATCTGAGACTTCCTTGATGCAACTTCTGGTATTTTCTGATGTAAATGCTTCATAGCACCCCAAAGTGGAGGAGATCTTGCCAAAAACAAAATCAAAATGGAAATATGATTGAGCTACGAAGTAAGAAAAAGCAAAAAAATCACCACAGGTAACCAATTAGAAACTAACCTGGTTATCGGAGCTGCAAGGCAAAAGCTTAAGCAGGCCCTTTTGCTCTCTGCTAGCAGTTCTTCCGCGGCAAGGAAACAACACACGGCGCTAACATGACAAGACGGTTCATTACCCTTGTCGAGTATAAGACCATGGTAATAGTACGCTGCAGCCTGATATATTTGCTGAGTAATTAGAATTTGATATCGATAATTTATTAATTGCAGCAACAGAACTATGCATATATACTGTAATCAGAGAAATGAAGTATCAAAGACCTTTGATTCAAGAAATTTCCACTTGATGAACCACATATGCTTCTTTCCATAACCGTGATTCATGTCACATCCAGACAAGCATTGATAAGCCTAATCAAAGCTTGGAGAAATCGGATAAATAAGAGATCATTACATAGGAAACAAACAGAAATATACTTTCATCTTAGAGTCCCTTGAAAAGCTATTCAAATCTTGTTAGTAAATCTCCTTAATTATCAAATTCTGCAACAATGAGTTTTGGATAATTTATTACACACCTGACTAAAATAGATCAATAGCTCACATGCCAATCTCCTCTTGACTGATAAGGTGGCCTTTTGACTTTCAACGGCTAAACCGAGTTGAATTTCAGTTCCCTGATATTTTCAATAAGATCAGATATTCATAGGAGCACATCAGATGCCAAAGAATTGGTGATATTTAGATGACAACTTATTCTGGAGACATCGAGTACTAAATGAATACCTGGCCTAGTGCTTGAATGGAAATAGCTTCCAATACACCATCCTGAAAATCTTTTGGCAACCTATTCCTGAAATCATATATAATTTCTCAATGGAAATCAGAGTTTGTGCAAAGAACCTTAACTATGCTTTGCCAACATACTTGATATCAGGTGGCATGTGAATGAGCACATTCTTGACACAAAATTCCAAGTATCCCGAAGCCTTGAGCAGTAAATCAACAGCATTTCTCTTGCAATCTGATAGTAAACATTAGAAATGATAATTGATCAGCTAAGATTTTCATCAACATCAGTAATTGAAGAATAAACGTAGAAAGGCCTCTGAATAAAAAAAACTATAGACCTGTAGATACAACCCTCACACCCGAACCAGAGTAGTCCTTGGGGATCATCAGTGTATTGGCCTCTGATAATGTAAGCATAGCCATCATGTGAACCACAGAAAGTAATTCAAACCAGGAGTTTGCTACGCAGGTTTCCTGCTAAACGCATTATAAGCCCAATTATGGTCCGATTAGTATAATGAAAGTAACACAGAAGAACCAGCAAAAAATGGCTTTTGCACTCTCTTACTTGTCTACCATCTTCCAGATTTTTCCACTTGAATTCTACCAAGTCCTGGAGGCCATGTTCTGCAATATATCAAAATTGGTTATGGCAGAAACAGAGTGAAAGATACAGAGAGAGTGACAAGAGATGCATATACTAGTACCTTTCTTGGGGAGCCCAAGTAAAAGGGACAAGTACTCCTCCAGCGCCCGCCGTAGTTCTATAATTGCAGATGCATCTGCAGGAATCAAAATTTCTATTTAGAAGAAAACCAATATAATTCAAACAACAAGAAAAGAACCAACAGGATTATGAAACTGATGATTACCAGTATCCTCAGCCACTAATACAATCTGGTTCCTGAGACAAACCAACCTATCTAGAAGCTCCCGCGGGATTAGACCTTTAAGTGGCCTTTGAAGATCAGATTGTGCAGGGATTTTCACAGAGGGAACAAACACCACCGCTTCGGGGATAGTCACCTTCTTCTTCCTCCCCAGTGCGTATACTGAAGAAGTGCACCCCATTGTTTCTGCTGGGGATTCGTCTCAAGCATAGTATCCTACGTACAAATACTTACTAATCAATCATCCGACTCTTTCCCCTCTAATTTCCATTAAAAAGACACGTAAGTGTAGAAAGAAGTTGAATAAAGAACACATGGGCATGCCTAAATGAGAACAGAAAGACCATAATATAGTTGAGCCAGAAAAAAAACCAACAATAAAAGAACTGAAACTTAGTTCCACTAGTTGACACACCATAAATATAAAACAAACTTAAATGGGATCACTGAAAGAGATAGAAACGCAGGTGGGCAATAGCAGGTAGATTTATATTAAATAAAGACGTTTAAAACTGACAAACTACATCCAAACTGATCCTGAAAACATGAAAAATGCAGGATTGATCTTGAAAAAAGACTTACTGGCAAAAGAAAGGAGAGAGAATAAGAAGCCCGCGAAGCTTCTCGAAAGCATTTTAGAAAATGCAGAGATATATATGAATGTATATATGTAAAATGTCAATGCATCTCCTGATCTCCATTTTCAGAGAGAGAATCTTGCAATGGGAAGCTCAGTAATCGAGACATTGTCACATGGTGAGACGTAGAAGTCTTTGCATAGTTAAAGGAGCTCGTTGAAATTTCCCATCCAATTTTGTTACTTTACTTAAACCAATTGCCCATGGATTGTGCTCGATTCTTAGTCAATTTTTTTTTTTTTTTTTTTCACTTTGTTTAGTGGAACGTGATCACTTTCGAATTAAGGTAAAAGTTTTGTGGGTGCGAATGCGATGGACCATTTTTTGTGTTTGCGCAGAATTGATGTTTTTGTTGACAGGAGCCATCTGTTTGGTGGCACCATTTACGACATTCTTTTTTTTTTTTTTTTTTTTTAATGAAATGAAATCTCAGCTCTTGACCTGCCAAGTTGATCCATTCATCTAACTATTCAAGTCTACGCACAGCACATGTATTAACTATTTCCATGTCGACTATATACAAATAATATGTATTTAGAATACCTGAGAAAAACTCTTCATATGACTCAAATTCTTTATTATAAAGAGTTTATTCATAAAAGTAACAGTTCATTTTTTATTCTTTAAATATAAATTAAAGAGTGAGTTTGACTCTTCACATCTAAAGAATCAAATTTCATTCACTATCTTAATTTTAATTAATAAATTACAAGTTTCGATGTATTTTATTTATTAATTCTCTCTTTTATTAAGTCTCTTTCTTGAAAATAAAGAACACATTCATTAAATTTAAAGAGCACTATTGGATTTTATTATGCCTAAAAAGTCACGTTGATGTCAACTCAACAAGTGTCTAAAAGACAAAGTGTATTAGCTGCCAAGCTCATACCGCCTCAGAGATATTTTATACCAATCTTATCTCATTTTAAGATAAGGACGAATGAGAGCTCTCCATGTGTTAAGATAATTTGCAAAAAAACTCATTACATTGACTTCAAAGGTGTATAAATTGACATTTCTCTTCACAAAAAGAGGGAAGTTGGACATATGAGAGTTAGGCAAACATTTGAGCTTCATTATTTCTCTCTATAAGTAAAGTATTTTTTCATCTTTGTATGTCTTATGGGAAATATCATAAAAATAGTTAGAGAACAATAAAATAACAATGGATATAGGATTTGCTTTAAGTATTCTAACCGGTATAAAAACATTTCTTGTCTATCTAATATTTATATTTTCTACAAACATATATAATATCAGCTCCATATTCGAATCTTATGAATCCATCATGTGTAATTTCTAAGACTCTCTTAGCACTTTGCACATGCAAGTCGTTGGTGTCAAAATCAAGCATCAACAGATTTGAATAAAAATTTTATTCTTTATATTTAGAAATTAATGAAAATATTTTTTATTTATATGAAAAGTGTTCTTAAAATTAAGAACACCATTAAAGATGCTCTTACGCGGCTCATCGACTGCTTTCAAGGCATGGATTAATGACCAATTAAATTTTGAGACTCCATGGATACACTTCTTAGATATTTGTTTCGTTGTTCCCCAAAATGTTTTGAATTTCTTTGGGAAAGTTTCTATATAAAACACTTTCGAGAAGTATTTTACTTAATTTAACTACAAATTATTTAATAAATAAAAAAAATATAAACAAATTCTTTAGGTGCTTTCTTCATAAAGCATCGTCTACAAGAGCACTTCTTAATATTCTAAAGAGTTAACAACTTTTTCCCACCCAAAAATGGTTTAATGATAGTTTCCCAATTTTAGACTTTTAAAATATCATTTTTCCACTCAAAACAAAAATTCTGTTGATAATTCCCTTTAAATACAATAATATTGATTGCAAAGACAAAAATACCCCCACCAAATTTCAATCCCCAATCGCCAACCATCACAAATTAAACTTTCATGTACGATTCCGGTCAAATCTGACCACCACAATCTGACCCTCTACCACCAAATAAATCATCGGCTATCCCTCTTAAATAGCCCTAACAATCTGGATTGTGATAGCTCTCCAATTGCGGGCGATGTGGTTTAGTTTTTTTGTTGAACAGTCAGCATTCAATGAACGATGAACAACGAAGGTCTAGGATAACAGGGGCTTTTAGAGAGGAGGTGTCGTTGACGCTACAGGTGGCTTCAGGTGGAATTTTCAGCAACCAAATCGGTCGGAATCTAGCCTAGAAGCTTAATGGTCGTGCGAACAAAAAACCAACGGTGGCTGGCGATTAGAGTGCTTGGTGTAGTGGGAAAGCGAGGGACTTTTGTGAGTGAAGGATGGGGAAGTTGAAGGTGGAGTCGGCGCTGATCAACGACGCTGAAATCATGCCAAACCAGCCTAAACCGACAGTTAGGGTTTAGAAAGGTATCTAGCCAAAATAACAATATGACCATTCTGCCTTACCTTTTAACTAGCTTTTGACGATCTTGCCCCACTTCACAACAAAAAGTGTGATTGTGCTATTTTTTGGGTGGGAAAAAGTCATTTACTCTATTCTAAACGCTTCAGGTCTCAACTGCGATAGCAGTATCAGAATTGATATCTAAAAGAGGGAGATATCATATTACTAGACCAATTTTAATCAATAAATATTGGCAAAATTTAAAAAATTCAAATGCATATATAATTCAATATAATAAATGATGGTTTAAATCTCAGTTTTTAGTTTTATCCATTTGAAACTCGGGTGTTTCTATTAATATGGTTTAATATATAGGCTAATCGAGTGCACGTGCAAATACCTAAATAAACGGTTGTATGTTTGCCTTAACTAAATAAAATTAGGTGAAGCTCACAGAGGGGAAGCATATATATAAACAAACTCCAGTTCTTGTCTGTGGATCTGCCTTCATCATAAATCTGTCACCTTCACAGATGCTATTTATATATATTGTTTAACAAGAAATTGAATTATCCAGCTTCCCAGGTAACCATGTTACCCTCTACAGGATACAGGCTGGTTCATAGATCATCGTTAATCAATGTTGTCCAATCTCCAACTTGGCAAAACCAGACAATTCTACAATTAAGTAACTATTAATTGCAACTGTCAACCAGTGAATATTAATTATATGTGGGGTTTTCAGATCTTGGGCTTGCGAGTGATGAACATATCAAAATTTATTAAATGGTCTTTTAAATATACATAAATTTATCAATACTTTAGGTAATGTCATATTCCCTTTCAGTTGAAACAATCTTAATTTGATTTAGTCCAATTACTTGAGTTTTAATTACTTCAAATCCAAACTGCTTCATCCAGATAATTAAAGAGACGTTACCAATCCTAGATTGCTTTTTGAGACAGTTAGTGTGAAGTTAAAGAGATTGCGATCACGTGTTGCAGTTCCAATCCCAGGAAATCTGAATTATCTGCGGATTGTTTGATGAGATCAAAGATCGCCAACCTATTTAACATTGTTGCAATCACGTCTTTTGACTAGATATTTATATTATAAAACACATATTAGAATATCAGTTGTAAAATATAATGTTACAAGCTATGACATTCAATATTGATCAAGATCTTATTGCATCTTGAAAAGATTATTTCACCACTACATTTGTCCTGATGAAATCGGCTGCTTTTGTATATGCATGCAGGAGTTTTGGCAGTGTTCTTGGGAATCGCCAATATGTCAGATATACTTTCTCGGCAGAAGGCAATTTCAGTAATGCCAACAGTTAAATATATGAAAAATGTTATCCTTATAAATACTCACATAAAGAGGGTTACAAAGTGACATCATCCAGAAGAAAAAAACAAAGAAAAAACCGAAAAAATGAGAGAGAGAAATCATGAAAATCAAGAATAGGATTGTCTTTGTATACTCCCTTTGTATTTGTCTTTGTAAAATTAGCATTACTCTAAATATATATAGTATTAGTGTATGTGCAAGATTTTAGCAAAGCCTATTGAGTTGCTCCAGCGCACCTCCAGGGTTGTTTCTACACGGCACAACCCAAAAAATTGAAGGCATTCTTAATGAGTCGAGCGTGTATACCAAGGTCTGTGAACCATTTTCCTTCAAAGAATGCTTGCTATTTACATAACATATAATTCTGAAATTGACTTAGAATTTATTGATTTTCGGAGTAGCACCAGCGCATCATCCGCTTGGGCTATTACTTTTGAAATTTATAATAAACAAATTATTGCAGATGCCTTGGGCAGTGGCCAATCGCTCACGTTTTCATAATTAACGCTCAACTAATTATCCTTTTTTATATCAGAAGTGTATACACATTCAAGGTAACTCAACCCAATCTAAGTTCTGTGGACATACTTAAGAGTCTTAGACTTCATTTCATCCCCCTGGGAAGGTGGAATGAAACACTAGTCACCGCATTTTTTTTTATTTAAACTTTTGGGAAGAGTTGAGAGTCTAGAGACAATGAACTAAAATAAGGTCGGCAACAATCAGAAACTCCCAATTATCACATTTTAATAGCAGGAGTTTCGCCTGACTTGGCGAACCGACCTTTCACTCGCTTTCTAGTATCTGCCCTCGCCTTCCTTGACTCATAACGGATGTGATTATCATATCTGTCAAAATTTCACAATACCAACAATCAGAATAAGATCGGTTGAATGACTAAAGAAACAAAGCTAGAGATATAATAAGTAAAATATAACTGCAAAAGCTACTAGGCATGCCTTCGATATTTCTTCTTTTCCTTATAGCGCAACATGGCATTGCCTCTGTTCTGTGCTAAAAGGTCCATGTCAACCCTGGATTTTGCCTCCGTTACAGCTTCACTTCCGGCCAGAAAAGGGTTATGAAGGACGTGGGAAAGTCCAGTGCTATCCCATGTTTCGGATTCAACTGCTCTTAATTCTGATGATATCGATTGCCCTATTATTGGTGTATTATTACTTTCTTCTGTTGATGTGTGGCACGACAATGGTTGATTAGAGAGATTCTGCAAATGTTGCATGTCAATTGTCAAGCTTATCATTACGCCAAATGCATCCCAATATATAGCAAAGAAGATGCATAAAGTTGTGTGTTCTTATAATAACTAAGATCCCAAAAAAAGGATATTTCTTCATATCTTTTCAGTTATGGTACTTCAGATGTGAGTATCTTTATAAGACAACTAGCAGCAAGTTTAAGGTTATCATTTTCCTTACAGTAAGGTGGTGTGTAGTTCAACTAAGTAACAAACGCCATAAAAAAAAAAAAAAAAAAGATAAATTAAATGATCCAACCTTGTCCATGCGGCCGAGAACTCAAACCATGTAGGCAATTATTCTTCATATCCATTAATCAGGCGCACAAGGCCTGATAATATTGATTTTATTTTATGTACTGTAATTAAGGTCTATTTCTATTTTTGGTCTTGCGATCTAAAGATTCAAAACCTAAAATCTGTAAGATTATCACTGCAAAACGCAAGTAAATAGAGAGTAGAAACAAAACCATCATTTCATAGTTCATAAAAATGTCAGTAGATACCAACCTGAGCTGCTTGATATGCGAGATGACAATCCCACATAAGATCATTTTCAGCAAAAAAGCCATAATACTCTCTCAAATCCACATTCGGAGCCAAACTTAACAGAGATGTAAATGTTTGCTGATGTAGCAATCCTTCCCCATCCATAGTTTCCATTTTAAGACTTTCCATATTCCCCCCCTGTTGATCACCTCCATTCGGTGGCGTTCCCGGCTCTAGTTCAGCTCCATCACCATTCAATCTCTCCAAATCCCTCCGGTACATCTCCACTAACTGCTCGCAAACCTCTCGATTATACTTTTCAGACCTCATAAAAACAGAGCAACTCTGTTTCGGGACCAAAAGATCATCCAAATTGAACGTTTTTTGCTCATAAGCACCAAACCCAGAACCCAAATTCTCTAAACTCTTGGCCTTCAATTCAAAACCAAATATAGCAGCCATCTCAGTAACTGATGGACAACCAGAGAACCCTTCAACTGAACACCGCTCGTGCAGAGACGACCCGGAGTGATTCCTATGCGAGTCCCAGTCACAATCTTGACAAAGCATGAGATTTTCAGTGAAGCAACAAACAGAAACCGGCTCAGCTCTACAATTATCACAAATTTGCGAACGTAAATGGTTCAGGGAGAGAGCATTAGCCGAGTGAACTTGGTAATCACACAACAAACAGAGCTTGGCCCAGTCAGCCCTGCAGTACACAACTGCAGGTTTAGTGTTACAAAATTCGCACGACACCATTATCAAACTCGCGAATTCTGATCTAAAACTGTAATCCTCTGCAATCAACAATGTAAAAACTCAATAGCGTTAAGCTTCAAAGGAACGTGCAACACATTAAAATTCTTGGAAAATACAATCTGAAAACAAAGATCAGGAACCCATTAAGTAGAAGTGGGAATACGAATTATTGAATGAAATAAACGTGTTAGAAAAAAAATATGGGAGAAAGTAAAACGTGAGAGAAGAAGAAAAAGTACTTGGTACCTTGATGAGGAACGAGGATTATTCGTACGTAACAACTAACAAGATTACAAGAGCATCTCAAGATTTGTACTTTGATAAAGCATGGATTGAGATGACACGTGTTATGGCTTTGGTCAAAGATGGGGTCTACACGTGGTAGATATCGTCATTCTATGCTGAGCTGGCGAAAAAGTGCATGTGCGTCTTTCTTTGCTAAATAATTGGGCTTCAAGGCTGACTTTTCTCCTTGGTCAAGAGCTGGACCCTGATTGATTGGGTTAGGGTTACATTATTCGACCCAATTTTATTTACAATGCTATTTATATATTTTTCATAGCCTTTTTTAGATTATGCTTCAATGCTCACGTATATAATCGAGTAATGTTAGGTCCATAATCTAATTTCACAATCTTCTCTCACAACCCTCGATGTAACAACTCGTCATTAGTCGGTTCGTAAATAGTAAGCAAGTGAGACCTATTTTATAAACTGATCAATGACGAACTATCATATTGAGAGTTATAAAAAAATATTGTGAGGAAAAAAGGTTCCTGGAATCTAATTTTGTTGGCTTAGCATTCGCATGCCACTCCCAATCCGACGAGAGAAAGGAAGAATTCATTCTTGCACTAATTAGTATCCGTTTGTAAGGAGTGTGTGAGCGACCCCTGCAAGTGCACTGAGAAGTAGTGCAGAAAATCGAAAATATCAATAGCAGTTGTTTCATTCTGCAACTAGAGATAGAGTGACCAATTATCCCGCAACCGGAGCACTTCGTCGGAAGGTTAGTGAATATTAAAAAATCCTCTGGCAAGAGGAACCATGAACCATTTAGCAGTTGGTGTCCATAGGTCTTGTAAAATAGGTTTCAACTCATCAGGTTTCGTTTCAGGAGAGAGTTACCTTTAGTCGCTACGGACTAGCTCGACTGCAAAGAACGAGAATAAAGGTACGGAACGGACTCACTCGACATCAGAATCAGAGGAAGAAGAAGTCGTTGCTGTCGACTCAGTAGAAGTGTAAAGTTAAGAAATAGTCAATTAAGTGATGAAGGGAAGTGAGACAGTTAATGGTAACGGAGGAATGGACTAGCTTGCTTGACATCCGGTCGAGGAATGTTGTGTTAATCCGGCCAAAGAACTACTCTCTGGCCAAACCAAGTCGCTTTGGCTCTTTTCTTTTGCTTGACAGTAGGGAGGGGCAGCCGCTTTCACTCTTTTGCTTGACTGAGGCCGAGCTTGTGAGTAATTGTCCACGGCGTTCCAGCATAAACTAATGATTATGTCGAGTCCGTGCTTGCGAATCTATATGGGTTCTACCCCCAACCCCCGCTATCGAAGAGAGATGTGGTAGGCAGAAAAAGAAGGGGCTGGCTGTGAGTATCGAAAAGTCATGGTCATTCAATCGTGCACATTCCCTCCCGTCTTTGTCACAAAGGAAGCAAGCCCCCCGAATTATACCAAAAGAACGTGAATTTGAAGATGAGGATTCTGTGTCCAATGGATTTGACCTTCGGAAGGAGACTTCCTCTTTCTATTAATTGCCCCCTTCTTGGAATGGATGGCGGAGCGTAGGTGGCAAGCAGTTATATGGATACGGTGCTTTACCCGTAGACGCTTCTCCAGCTCTCTAAAAAATTGTATGGGAGTCGTCCTCGAAGGGACTTCCCGAATGACCGTACCGGGGAATTCTACCGTACTCCGTGCAGCTATTGTTGTTGATCCTGCGGAGCCTACCCAAAGGTTCAGGCCGGATTGTAGGAAGTGGGCGATACGTTTTTGTATTTCTATGATAAGCTCTACGGCACCCACGATTCCCAGTAGTGAGTCGAGGTTGAGCCTTTATATTTTACACTTTGTTTAATATGGGTATGGGTAGGTAGCCTCCGCCAATCTATCTCAATCTGATCTGCTTTATTTATGTTTTCCCGAGCTTTTGACACAGGAGTTGCGACGAAGAACCTAACGGAACTTTTCTAATCTCAGCGGAATTTTTGAAGTGCCGCTTTCTTGTTCATCAAGAAGATTATTGTGTTTTATGAAAAATCCCATAAGAGGCAGGTGGACTAGTTCCCATTCGGTTTCATTTTCAGTGTCGTATGCATAGGAAACCTAAGCTGCTTGTCCGGGATCACTTGGATATATGATAACATCCTAGCCCAACATGACTCGGATGAGGAGCCACCATCGGTACTAGTCCAGGGGGTCAATACTAGCGAGAGTCCCACAGCTACGCTAGTTCGTTAGGTATAACGTGTTTCGGTCAGCTTTAAAGGCCAAACTAACCCAGTCGCTTTTTTGCATGAGCCCTGTGGACAATTTATCAAAGGCTTCTCCTACAAAGACGATCGGGAATGGGGCTCCCCTGCAACCTAATTCCTTCCTTCTCACCTGAGTCTTAATCTCAAAGAAAGGGAATTGGCCCGCAAACGTGTATGTAGCTATCCAGCCTGAGGAGAGATAGTTTGATGGAGCAAGCAGCCCAGCCCTTCTTGTTTTCACCAATCGATAATTGGGATTGTGTCGATGTCGAGTGTGAAGTCGGCTGAGCGAGGGCTTTACCTGCAAGCGGTTCTTCTTTGGATTGAATTCACCTAAGAACGAAACCTAAACTAGGGGAAAACACGAGCTTTCTAAGGTTACGTACCTGTGGACCTAGTATTACTAATTTATAAATATGTTATATAATTAAACTAAAATGTTACTTATTTCAATACGCACACTTAATTATTTTGTGTGGTCGTACCTATATTATATATGCAAAATGTGAGTATTAGGAGAGATTAATGGACTTAAAAGTGGGATTAGATTTAACTAACTTGAGTGCATTAATCTTGAAGTTTTTTATTTCTTAAAGGAAAGAGATAAATTTTTTTATGAAATTAATTGCGGAGACAGAAATTATTAGTTAACACGCGGTGACTCATGCTGTCACCAATTGTAAAGTAACTTTCCTCGTGGCATCATAAAGTTCTCAAAAATTTGCTCTAATCTAATACGAGTTATAGCTGAGTTTCTTCTCTCTTAACATAAACCTTTGTAAGTTTTCAGCGGCAAAGGCGCTGACTCTATCGATAAGGTGGAGGCATGAAGCATCTTGAATGCATTGATGCTGCCACTACTAGAATCGTGTGCCCGTTGAGAAGAGAAGATAGAAAAAAGAGCAAGCAAGAGAAAGGAATGGATGGATGTACTTGGTAAATGGACTAGCTTTCAATATACGTGGATCCTTTCTTTTTTTGATATTGTTCTTCCGCTTTTCGTCGTCAGGTCAAAATCATATTAATGTCAAAGGATTTGGAATGGTCAGAGAAGCCCATAAATGATGATGAGGATATAACGCACCGAAAATAAGATAAATATCATCACACGTACAATCAACTTGTATGCATGCATGGTTGGAACTTGCTTTTATTAATGGCTTGCTTGTTGGCTAGCTTGGCTTGTTAAATTTGTATCGCAACTTGGCCTGACTCTCTCTGTGTACTCATCAGAGTACTGTATTTCTTACATAGTATAATTTCGTGCAGATGTTATCTCTTGAAGTTCGGTTATTGTTCTATTTCATGAGATATATAAATTAATAGTTTTATAAAAATGTTTATAAATAAAAAGTTTATACATGCACATGATCAGATTACATATCTAATTTATAGCAATAATACTATACTTACAAAAAAATCTTACAAAGATTTTCATACAAAGTAAGGTGACAAAAAATAAATAGAAGAGTAAAACAAAAAGACAAACTCATTAAATTCACTTTTCTATTCATTTTTTATCACATTACTTTGTATGGAGTTATTTGTTTGTAAATATAGTATTACTCAATTTATAGATGTAGTTTCGATTACATACATACTAGAGATCGTGCATAGAGGAGTTTCAGTATTAATTAAGGAAATTATTATTGTGGGTTTTAGAAATTGAAGTCGGTGCAGATTAAAAGATGCCGTCAGGCTCAGGAATCTGATTACTTTGTTTTGGAGAAGGAAAGTATATGTATAAATTATGCATGCACTGTAAGGTTTAAGGCTATAAAAATTCACCCTTTATTAATTTGTGTTGATAATTATGAACTAAGTAAAACCGTTTTTCCTTCACAAGTTTATGTAAATTGTTAACTATGGAAGCCTGAAACAGCGTCGTTTAAGTAACATTAATACGGCGTCGTTTTAGACATATTAACTTGGACGAATTCAGACCACAGGATGCACTCAAGATCTAATGGCCAGGATCGATCACGAAGTCAAACCATATATAAGCGCATGTTTATTCAGATTTGGCACAGTGATAGACAGTCGTTAGGGTTCTCTGTGCATGTTCTTCTCTGTGTTAGGGTTGAGATTCTTCATTCCAGATTGTGAGTTAAATCAGTCGAGTGGTTAGGGGTTTTAATCATTCAGGTGAGATTAGTGTTCTCTTGGGTTTGGGATATTCAGAGAGTATCTTGTAAGGCTGGTTGCTGTTGTAATCGGGTAGATTTGGTGAGGGTTGAATCTGTGTAATCTTGACTATTTCTGGTAATCGAAGTGCAGCAAGCTCATACTGTTCTTGAGCTCAACGTGGATGTAGCTTATCCATAAAAGGATAAGTGAACCACGGTAAATCGTGGCTTGTCTGTGTGTTTGATTTTGTGGTGTTTTTCTTGTTTCTTGGTGTGATTGTTTTGTGTTGATTGATCAGTATTAAGTTTTCGGCTATAACAGTGGTATCAGAGCCATTTCTTGAAAGTGAAGTTCGTGTTTTAAAAAATTAGGGTTTCGTAAAATTAAGGTTCTTCTGAGAAATTGGGGGTTTGTCAAATCAATTCCTGTGAGTCTCCAAATTAAGTTCTAGAGAGTCAAATCTTGATCGAGTGTAAGGGTATATCGGCTGGAAGACCAGCGACCGCC